GGCTTCTAGTGATGGAATAGCAATTCAGTATAGGTTAGTTTATCGCTTGATAAATTCTGTTAATCTTATACGTATGAACTCCAGTGCAGATACTGAGGTTCATGGCCAGGGACAGGATTCTGTAATTCTAATTCGACCTATGGTAGTCAATGCTAAGGCTCTTACGTGGCCGAAACGATGGGTTTTGGAATCAGCGTGGTGGAATTAAACCCAAATCGGGGAATTCAAATCCAAGAACTTGATAATGAGGAAGAGTCGTTCCATATGTGTCAGGACCCTTCGCCTTAAGTACACCTCCCCAATACAAGTGAAATGTATCGCTTTCTATAATGAGTTTATCCTCATCTTCCGGGAGTTTTAAAGGTTTTAATTGCTTTGTCAAGGCTTTGGTCCGCTTAACACAATTAGTATCTTCAAGTGTCCAAACTCAGGGCACTTTATCACTAACCTTAAGCGTCAAGCCATTAATTACATTAGCGAAATTAGGAACATATTTGCGCATGTAATTAGCTAATCCAAGAAATTGTTGTAACATGTGCTTATCTTCCAGCACATCTGGAAATTCCAGCAATTTCTTTGAGATATGTTCTTGGAGTTGAATAATTCTATATATATATATAGGCTTATCTTCAGATTTAAAAAAAATATATATATATATTATACATATATCCAGACTCATAAAAAACTTATTATTAATATATATATTCCACATCTACATCATATTAAAAGTTTAAAACTCTTTTCACTATTTTTTACGTGCATCTGTTTTTTTATGATTTTATCTTAAAATTCTTTATTCTCTCTTTCACTTTTTCTATGTTATTCGTTCTTAAAACTTTTGAAGACTGAAATTGTTGAAGCTTTCACTCATCAAGATGTCGCAATTAGTTTCGTTTTCTGTTTTCTTAATTTTAGCTATGTGTATTGGTAATTTCATTTTAGTTTATTTTTTGGTTGAATCATGCTTATTTTTTAGATGTTTTTTATTCTTTTGATGGAAAAAAGCATGAATCTTGCGAGTTTGTTTTGTGTTTTATGTTTAAGAATGTTCCCGCTTTTCCAAATTAAACCTTAATTATATTTTACTGAACGATATTCTTCATCCACCACTTTCCTATATTTCAAACGTCACCGTTTAACTGTTCAAAATTATTAAAAAGTTTGAGTTATTATCTATGTTTATACTAAGAAAATTTCCCATTTTTTTATTAATTCATATTAAAAGTCAAGGCAGTATTGATTTAAGATAAGTTTTGGTTGACTTTAGCTTCGGCTAGGCCTGATCAAAGTCATGAAAATTTATATTATAATTTTGAAAGAAAAAATATTAAAAAAAATAAATAAATAAGAAATTTGTGTAGAACATTTTCGGTGGATTGTGATTGTTAGAAACTCTTTTACTTATATTGGATTTAAGTGGATCGTTAGATTCCTATGGTCTTTTGCTCTCTTTAATTGAAGAGATTTTTCCATGTAAAAATTTCTCTGTGTTTCCTTGTAAATTGAATGTTATATTTAACATAATTTGCTCAAGGTTTTGCTTCTCATAAATTTATTCAAGTGGTAAAGTATTGTATTGTTGCATTATTTTCTTTGAGATTATTGATATTATATTATTTCATTTGGTTAAGGTTTGATGATTTTTTAAAATATTTCATTAGTTGTTTGACAAACAATGGCAGAGCCATGGAGGCCCCTATTGATAAAAATCCTAGATCCGTTACTGGTCATTGTCATTTGTCAATGATGGTGAGAATTGAACAACCACATTTTCGATGACTGCATGTAAGCCAAGTCTCTCTTGACAAAGATTTAGCAATGGCAGCTTGACCAGACTTCCACTTGTCACTTAATTAGTTATGCTTAACCTCTTCAGGCATGAAGTTCTCCCAAGACTGAGCCATTACCGTTAGTGCTAATGCCGCAAAGACCCATTTCAACAAATTCTACGGTACGTTTGATTTATTATTTTGAATAGGATTTTAAGAATAATATTGGATAGTTGAATAGGAGAGTATTATAAGGTAAAATTTATAAATTTATAAAAAAAAAACTCCTAGGTTTGCTAATTTAATTAAACACCCCAACATGTAAAATGATAAAAACACCCCTACCACCTGCAGTGCCAGATTCCGGTCACCACCGCCAGAATTTGACCGAAAAATTACGTTACGACACAGACTAGTCGGATCTGTGTCGTAATGCGTCAATATGACCTTTTCCGACCAGATCCACCACGGATTTGGCCAGAAAAGGCCAGATCTACTGTCAGATATGGCCGTCGACGGTCGAAAAAAGCTAAAGAAGTCCATCTTTGGCTGTCAGCAACGGCTAAAGATATGGATGTCGTTTTCGGTCAACGATGGTAATTTCTTTGGCCGTCAAATCGGTGAACTACCGGCAAGTGCTGGTTGTGGTGTAGGCCATTGTATAGGTTCCGGCTACCACCGATGGTGGTTGCCGGAATCTGGCAAGTATAGGTTGATGGGGGTGTTTTTGTTAATTTTTAAACTTTTTTGGGGGGGTTATTTAATAAAATTAATAAACGTAAGGGGTCTAAAAATTAAAAAATATAGTAATATTTTTAGAATAATGTGCCAAACAATATTTGGAGAATAAGATTAGAAATATGGTTATAAATAATAAACTAAATGCACCCCTGTTTCTTATATAACTCATTGCCGTTCCATCTATCATGGCTTTGAGGCTTTCGTTTCATTATTATGAACCTACTCTTGTTTTTTTTTTTTTAAGAGGCAATACTGGAGGTTATTACATGAAAGAAGCTGCCCCAAAGGAAACACACATTAAAGGTTCAACCAATAAGAATGGACCATCTGTCATAAACATAATAGAAATACTAACACGGAATCAATTTTATTATAAACATCCCTCTCACCATACCACCTTAATAGAATAATGTCCGACAACTTGCTGTGCTCTTTTATGGAGTGAATACAAGTGTTTTCAATTTTTGAAACATGGAACTAAACAGTGGATTTATTGGTATTTGGAGATGGGGAGTCAGGGCATATGAGTGAAAAAGGAAAGAAATAGAAGGAGAGGAAAAAGAAAAGCTGAAGAATGGAAGGCCATTGGTAATTTGTTTGCAAAGTTGTAGGGGAGTTTGACTTTAATTTATAGCGAGATTGGTTCAACGTGTAAAGCTAATTAGAAAAGAGGCTGTACCTGAAATGGTTCATGTATTATGTAGTGTAGAGGTTATCACAACGTAAACAAAACAATTAAGTGTGTAGGAAACTACCACTCTGGAAAAAAGCTCTAAAAACACCATTGAAGAAGAAGATGCATGAGAGAAACAAAGAACAAAATCAGAATCAAGAGGGGATAATTTACAATTAAGTGTAGGAAACTACTACATTATGAAAAGCTATAAGAAAGACAAATTAATAGCAAGTAAAGAAAGAAAAGGCAACACTCTGAATACAACTTCATTGCTATAAAATACTGCTATATAACATAGCTCTAAGTACTAGAATAAGACACAAAATACCTCTTCAGGCATGAAACTTCTCCCAAGACTGAGCCATTACTGCTAATGCCGCAAAGCCCCATTCAACAAACCTAACAAGAACGGACCATTTGCACCTAATAACTTAGCAAGTAATATGGTGTGCAAATTCTGGTTTTTTATATATCTCGTTGTCATTCCATCTATTATGGCTTTTGTTTCATTATTATGAACCTAATCAGGTGGTTTTTTTAAGGCCTTACTGGAGGTTATTACATGAAAGCAGCTGCACCAAAGGAAACAGACATTAAAGGTTCAACCTATAGTTGTCCCTGCCATTTCAATTGATGAACTCAAAGGAATAAAACAGAATTTTTGTAGAGACTCATTAATTGGTCAGGGCTCATATGGAAGAGTGCATTTTGGTGTTATGAGAAGTAGGCAGTTTGCAGCCGTCAAGAAATTAGATTCCAATAAGCAACCTGCCGTCGCCTTTGCAATCAGATCAAATAAAGAAATTTTATTAAAAAAAAAAAAATTAATTATAAATTTGTCCGTAAATAAAACAACTCAAAAGATCAAATCATAACCTACATTCTTTTTTTTTTCCCTTTACAAATTCTTTTTACCCCAAATAAAATTTAAAATTTAGAATAATTTTTATTTGATACATATAAAAAAGTTTTAATTTTATAATAAAAGTATTAGTTCAATTATTTCAATAGAGAGCAACTTCCTTATAAAAACATAGATATTATATTTATAATTGATTGCTTGTTTTCGGTATCTCACTTTTTGTTTTGCTAAAATTCATCTTTTTTTTTTTTTTTTTTTTTTTTTTAAGAATTTACTTTAGGTAAAGAGAAGTTGATGAAGCAAAGAGTGTTATCAAAAGAAATATAGTTTTCAAAATTATTTTTTCTTTAACCTTAATGTCCAAACCAACTTACACACACCTCAATTAATCTTTGAAGAGGCTAACACAATTTTCAAAATTATGTCCTCCCATAAAGACAAAATTTCTTAATTCTACAAAATATTTCATATTTATCAAAAGGTTCAAACTAGATTGAATAAGAAACTTAATCCAAAAAATTAGTTTGAACTTTGAATACGAATATAAAAAATTAAGGTTTATATTTACATAATTGAGGTGTCAGAAGTGTTCATAAGAAAATAAAGGTATGTTTAATAACTTAATTTAAGAATAAATTTATTTAAAAAAACAAGACTTTAGTTTATTAACTTGCATAGAAGTAGAACTACTCATATTTTTTTGTGAATAACACTCATACAAAAAATAATATAAAAACAAGCCAATTTAAATAATGAGAAGTTTCAGTATTTGGGCATCTCACAGTCAGCCCTGGAAATTTTTTACAAAATCCCCCATCTCACTTTGATAACTGGAAAAACAAATTGTACTGAGGGAAGGCATTCCGGAATTTTGAAATTAGCTCCTGTGATAGCAATGCCTGTCCTTGCATAAGAACATTGTGGTATCTCTCTATCAATGATGCCACAACATTCAGTTGGTCAACCTCTTGTAAAGAACCTATAATCACAATCAGAATAGCAGATAAGTAAATAATTCACAACTGTTTTGCATATAAGAGGCCCTGCATAAAGTACATTAGTTCATAGCCCTTGGCCTATATATGCAGCAACATCTATATGTATGATCTATCCTTGGCGTGATTGTTTTCACATGCTTTTACACATGGATGCAGTTAAGTATGTACAAATAAACACAACAGTATATGAAAAATGATATTGTATTTTGAAAGTCAAACCTCATTATCATCTTGGCTTTCATCATCATCATCTTCATCTCCATCTTCAGCCTCGTCATCTTCTTCATCATTTTCTGTTTCTTCCTGTACTTCTTTCAGCCGCACAGATGCCTCCATTAGTGAAGCATAGCAATCCTGTAACAAATTGCCCCCTGGATTCCCTAATCCTAGAAGCCGTTCAACCACTTTGGCCAGCGTTAATACTGCAAATTAACAGCCATTAGATAGGCCCTTATACTGAAATAATTCAGGAAAGAGAGCAGTGAAAGAAGATAAGAGAGAAAAAGACCGTCAACCAAAGTTGACATTCAGTTTTCAACCCTGGAAAGGTAGGAGTATTAACATAATGTTATTGAATAGCCATCTACCCATACAACAAAGTGAAATCACAAGGACTAAAAATTTTGGTTGTCATTTGTGGAGTCCTAGAAGTGCTATATGTATGACACAACACAAATCAAATAGCAGTATTGTGAACATGACAACAGTTCTGGAGCAACTATATATGTCAAATCCCCACCCAGCAGAAATGTTGAACCGTGAAGCTCCTGATCAGTCAGTTGGGGGCCCAAGGTACCATTTAACACAACAGTGAAACATCAACAATCAGAAAAATATAAATGTCAAACAGTATCAATTATATGAAAAACAATGTTCAGCCACATTTTGCCCACATCAACCAACAAATAGGCGACATTATTTTTTGAAAAAGAGAAAGGACTATTAAGCAATATGCTAGAAAGAGAACTAGCTGTACATATCCCAAGATGTGGCTACAATATTGAGACGGCTTTCCTCCAAGTAATTCAAAATTCAGGAAGAAAGGAACTAACCAGCTAACTTAATCTCAGACTCTGTGCAAAGACCAGGTTCAAAGGTGCTACTACAGACAGAAGCCAAAGCAGATGCCCAGATTGTGAAGCCTCCATCTTCATCCTTATTTAAAATTCCATCCACGATATCAGGACAACAGAGGTAGCATGATGATATAGCAAGCACCAAAGGCTTCCAAAGTGGGCAAGGCTTGCTTTGAATTGCTCTAAAATGAGAAAATGCTGCTCGGGTGAAAACAACTGCCAACGATTGCTTCACACCCTCTGTTTCAGAGGAGTAATTTGGAACAAGTAACAGTGTATGCACACATGAGCAGGCCCTCCAGGTTGCAGATGGATATTGTAGAATGGCCTCACTTAGAAAGGCAGAAATGCCTTCAATTATTGACCGTTGGGGCACAGGTGGAGCAGGAGGGGATGGCATCTGTATGACAACAAAGTTCTTGAGCCCGTATGTAATGTGTAGACTAATGACCTCCTTAATGCAGTCAAATATAGACAAATCCTCTGTTTCTTCCCAAGCATGCCAGTCCGCAATCATATCAGCCCCAACTAATAATAACTCCGATAATTTAAGCTCTCCAATGGCATTGCTTGCAGAGACAGAGAGCATGATAGACCGTAGCAATGTTGAAGAATCATCTATGCACGAGAAAGGGGTAGAAACTTCACCTTCCTGATCCTAGTGATGTATCCATTACATGTTAAATGAGCAAACATTTCTGACAAATGCAAAGCTAAATCCACAGACTATGTAGATTATTAAACTGATCTTAAATGGATTCAGAGTATCCCTGCGGATGGATACTCTGTTGATATGCCATGTACTGCTGATGTGCATATTGATGTCCTTGATGAGGTTGCGTCATCTGTGAATTTTGATGTTGCACTGATTGCTGCCCTGCTTGCTGGGGCCACTGCTGACCTGGCTGTTGAGCCATTTGCTGACCTGGAAATGGCATCATTTGTGGTCTCATTTGTGGTGTAAATTGCCCTGGGTGTTGCGTGGCCTGACTGAGCTGTGAACCCTGCTGCTGTGAATCCTGTTGCTCAGAAACCTGTGCCACTAGCTGTCCAGGCTGCTGAGGCAACTGGCTCCTTTGTTGACCCTGTTGTTGTGCATGTTCTGCTGACCATGCTGAGTCATCACGCCATTTAGCTGCATTGAATGGGCCACTGGTAGAGGAGCCAGTTTAGGTGTAGTAGTAGCAGGAGGTGGGCCAGGCGGCAATGGTGGGGCCAATGCTGCAGCCGGCTTTTCATACTGCGTAATGTTAGTTTCTGGATTCCAATAATATAAAAGACCTGTACTTCCATCAATCAATCCCTTCCAAGGTTTTGGAAGAGTTGGATCATCAGGGGCATACCGCGGACCAAGAGAAGCAGAAGCCGCTTCTGCCGTTGCCATACGAATATTTGCCTACAAATTTTAGGATGAGTATAATGTAAAGACAATCCCCATAAATCCTTCTTCAAGCTGTCTAAAATATAAGCTACTATTTCAGATGAAAAATATCAGCTAATTCAACACATTATCACAGTCATTATCCTACAGCCATTCATGCCAAATCAATATTAGCTCTTTAAAAATGTAAATTTTGCTTGGGAGTTTCAAAACCATCCTTAGGCTTGGATAGACAAAACCCTAATTCCAACGAGTTAATTCTAAGACTCATATATACATATCATACAGACGATCCCATTCACATATCAATACTTGATGAAATTTTAAACTCGTTCCAAAGACAGATGATGTCCATAAGAAAATTAAACATTAACTAGACATAACATCAAAACCCAACAGACAGAAAAAAAAAAAAAAAAAAAAAATCCCTAGAAATAAAATACAGATATTATAAATTAATAGCAAAATTATATGAAAATTTTGTCGAGATTACATACCTCTTTCTATCGAGCTTCGAATTAATTGATTATCCTCTAACTGGAGACGGTATAAAAAAATGTTTAGTTGAAAAAGAAACATAAGTGTACACGGATTTTGTTGGAAATAACATAGAATAACATATATCCTAACATAATCTCAAGATCATAGTTACCATTGCAATCACATTTGTATATAAATGAACTACAATGAATTAACACAGCATAAATACCTCTTTTCCTTATCTCTGAAGCAACAAAGTTAATCTGAAAGAAAACCACGAAGTGTATTTCTGTTTTCCAAATTCTAGAGAGAGAGAGCGTATTTTTCTTTTGAATATTTGAGAGTGACAGTGAGTAACCTTTTCTAAAAAGAAAACCTTTCTTTTTATATGGAAGCGGTTCGTGAGAAACTGCATTTGGCAGTTTCCACTTCTCAAGCCCCTTCATCATGGGTGGAATCATTTTAAACGAGTTTAAAATGAAAATACCACGGGAACTTATCCAATATCTCCCACTCACACATGATGAGATTATCTCTCTCTATGCTTCTTTAAGGTTCATACCTTAGTAAATATGCCGTGTGACCATGCATATTTCGAGAGCACGTTAGTCATATATTTGTTAGGAATATATAACTTCTCGAATTGTGAAACTCAGGTTGTATGTTGTATGCAATGCCCTAGATTACTTATCACATTTTTCTAACAATCTCATTTACAAAAAATATTCGTTATATTCATAATTATGTTCTATCTTTACATAAAAGTAAAATATAATTGGTTGACCAATGAATACACGTGATTATAGTGTGATAATTCAAAATCGTAATTTTCCTCTTTTCTCGACACGTGATTAAAGTGTGATAATTCAAAATCGTAATTTTCCTCTTTTCTCGATTCTTGCAACTTTCATTTAACTTGCTTTTCTAGAAATGTCCCAGCAGATTGAATTTATCTTAATCCTTTGGTAACACTCTAAGATAGCAATCATTAAATGAAGTTTTCAAGAAACAGAATAAAATAATAAGGGTATTCTATAAGATTTTATTCTTAAAAAAAACTCAAGGTCTCACACAATGTTAAAGTTGAGATTTTGACTTTCATTACCCCTTTGGTTAATGTTTTGCACATGTGGTATGAAACTATGAATCACATGCTACAACATTTCCTTCTTTCCTATGGAGTGCATGTCTCTTTTCTTGTAAATGCTGTACAGATTTTAGTTTAGATATATCTAATGTCTAACTTGAGTTCACTTTACATACTTTTAATTCATCAGAACTCTAATCTGGTAATTAGACAGATAAAGTGATCATTTATCACTTGTGGTCACATTTCATTATGACATTATTTTTAATTCTATTTTCTAGGTGACGTTAAACATTTTAAGCTTGGCTCTCTATTATCACCTAGATAATAAGCTTAAAATTGTCTAATATCTTATAATCTTATTTGTCTAAACAGTAAAAATAGGAATTTGTTTTAATTATTTACACAAAACAACTTTCAAAATCCTATTCTATCATTGTTTTCTCCCGTTACTTTTATCTGCTTAAACCTCGCTTAAACTCTTATACTTTCACATTACAAAATAAATTAAATTTAAATTCATTTTATTTTATTTAATACTAACATTTTTTAATTTATTTTATTTGCTCTTTCACTACTTTTATCTACTATCTTTGGCAACTCTAAGAGATAATACAACTAATGCTATGTGGATACAACATGAATCCATGTCGTAATTATTAATGGAACATAAGTGTACAAGGATTTTAAGAATTGATTATTAGTAGCTTTGTATTATTAATTTAAATATGTATTAATGTTTTGTTTTAAAATGATGTATTAGTAGATAAATTATTCTGGGTGATTTGTTTTTAATTTAGTGATAAAAAATTGCCAAATAATTATTTAATATTATTTAAATGTATTTTGAAAAGTATCATAATCAAATAATAAAATGCACCAAAATATTCTATCTTAAAATCCTTTTTCAAAAAATATATCAAACAATTATTCACTAATTTATTCAACTATAATATAATATTCAAATAATTTACCAAACACATTTTCAAATTCAAATTCTATTTTATTAACAACTCAACTCAACTTACTTTTTTTACAAGTAATATTTTAAAAAGTGTACCAAATACAGCCTAATCTCAATGTATCTAAATAAACATGTTTTGCATGAACCCGAAATGTTACAATTCAACCTATGTTGCTGTTGTGACCTATGGCGTACTCATATCGATATTGATTCGTTTTCTCTTCTATAGGAGACAAAGCTGCTAATTGTCAACATAGTTTGTGACATACTTTTATTGATTGATTGTATTACAACGTGATACATATAATGCTCTCTTACAAAAGAGACAAATGTCACGGGTTGGGAGTTTTACACCCAAAAGGTTAATTCATTATGTGGAGGGACTTCCCTTTATAAGTCTAAGACCTCCCTAATGCGCTTCTAATGTAGGATTCGTGACATTCTCCCCTACCCAATCTTGTGAAACCCGTATCACAGGTGGGCCCCTTGCCTACCCATCCATCTTACTCTCGAGTGGATCCACTATCACATGTGGATGCTCCTCTACATGGGCACTTGGCGAGACACCAAAAAAAGAATCAGGTATGCTCTGATACGACTATCACAGGTTAGGAGTTTTCACACCCAAAAGACTAATCCATTAGGTGGAGAGACTTTTCCCCTTATAACCCTAATGTCATGGATCCCAAATCGGAAGCGTATTGGGGAGGTCTTAGGTTTGTGAGGAGGGGAATCCTTCCACCTAATGAGTTAGCTTTTTGGGTGAGAAACTCTCAACTCGTGACAATGGTATCAGAATAGGTCTGATCCATATTTCGGTGTCCCGCTAAGCATCTATGCAAAAGGGCATTCACGTATGACTCAAGAGTGAGATGGATGGGTAGACAGAGGGCTCCACCTGTGATACCTTGTCACAAGATTGGGTGAGGGAGAATGTCACAGATCTCATATCGTAACAGGATTGGGTGGGGGCAGTGGCAGACCCAGGATTTTTGTTGAGAGGGGGCCTCCATGGCTCCCCCATTGTTTGTTAACCAACTATTGAAAACTTAAAAAAAAAACCACCAAACCTTAAGCAAAGAAAATAATACAATATCAAGAAGCTAAAAGAAAATGATGCAATAACACATTACTTTCCTACTTAAATAAATCTACGAGAAGCAAAACCTTGAAAGCAAATATGTAAAATCACATCCAACTCACAAGGAAACACAAAAAAATTTTGATGTGGAAAAACCTCTTAAATGTGAAGAGAGCAAAAAATCATAAGAATCTAACAATCCACTTAAATCCAATATAATCAAAAGAGTTCACAACAACCACAATCTACCAAAAATATTCCATACAAATTTAAAGTCCAATCACAACTTTAACACAAGTAAAATACATAAATGTTGATAAATAAATAAATTAAAATCACCAGAGAAGCAGTCAAACTTTAAACTTATAACTCCAAATCCAACTATTAAAATCAAAACTCAACCATCGAGATTAAAAATTTAACAAAACTTTACCTCATTTACTCATCAGCCAAACATACTACAAAAAAATATACTTAAATAAAAAAATTAGAATTTAGAGCAATATTACTAAACGAAAAGGAGG